AATTCCTGCAAACTGACTCGTCGTGTCACCTCCCGTTAGCGCATGAAAAGCTAACAATCCCTTTCGAGTGTTGTTGTTTATTGCAATGGCATGAACTCTTATCATCCAAGGAGATTTTGAAGTTCCTGCCTTCATCCAAACTTCCTGCGACAACTTTGCCGAAAACACTGTTATCATCATTAACACATCGGTATCCCTGCAAACTACAATCGTTCGCTTATATCCGTGGTCTGCAGCATCGCACGCATGAAGAACAATTCGCGTGACAGCCTCCTCGTGGTTTGCTCAAAGTGTTGACACATCACGTTCCGAGGTACATGATATCGTTTTCGTTATTTCCGTAAACCCTCCACGCACAATTATCTCTTTACCGCCAAGTTCACTAGAGATGATCAATTCCTCTGACAAGAAACGAGCAAGATCGGCTTTGTTTTCAGCGAGAGTGATAAATGTCTTCGAGTTCTGAGGAGGTTTTGTGTGTTTACCTGTAATCAACCGCCTAATTTGTTTTGTCCCTGATCGTCGTCTTTCTCGTTCTCGTCTTTCTCGTTCTCGTCTTTCTCGTGTAGAATTCTCCTCGTATCGATCAAATATAAAATCTATTCTGTCTGAATTTCTACCGTGTGACTTCACACAGTTCACAAACACATCTGCTAAGTCACCAAACGTAACTACTGTTGTCGGTTTTCCAATGGATTGTACCACTGCCAAACCATCAATAATGGTACATGTTTTAACGATGTCACTGATAGGGAAATCTGGCTGGAATGCATCTTCCGACAGAATATTTATTAGTTGCGATTTGTCCGCTTTTCGGAGAGAGAGAGAGAGAGAGAGAGAGAACCAGAGAGGGAGTGTGTATGTGTCAGAGAGAGAGACAGGTGAGAGGAGACAGTGAAAGAGAGAGAGACAGAAGAGAAAGAGATGCCGGAGAGAAACAGGAGGGAGAGAGAGAGAGAAGAGAGAGACAGAGAGGAGAGAGAGGAGGCATGAGACAGGGCGCCGGAGAAGAGAAGAGATCGAGAGGGATGAGAGAAGAGAGGAGAGAAGAGACCACAGAGAGAGAGAAGGTTGTTGCGCGCGCTGTGTGTGTGTGTGTAGTGAGAGAGGAGACGGAACTTGAGAGGGGATGTGTATGAGGCTGAGAGAGAGAGGTGCCGCGCGCGTGTGTTGTGTGAGAGAGATAGAGAGAACGAGAGAGAGAGGTGCGCGCGGCGCGTGTGTGGTTGTGTGAGAGAAAAAGATGGTGTGCGCGTATGTATGTGTGACATTTGTGTGTGTTGTGAGAGAGATGAGAGAGAGAGATGTGATGGTGTTTGTTGTATGTGTGTGTGTGTGTGTGTGTTTGCGCGCGCCGCTGCGTGTGTGTTGTGATGTGTGTGGTGTGTGAGAGAGAGAGAGGTGTGCGTCGTTTATGTTGGCGTGCTTGCTTGACGAGAGAGAGAGAAACCAGACGGATCAGGCATGCTCAGCGAAAAGCACGTTGGCACCAATTGGCAATCTGCCGTTGCAGGCCAACGTTGTCAATTATGGCGTTGGGACAACGTTGGACAGCTGCGCAAAAGCGTGACCAAGTTGGCTGTCTGCGTTGAGCCAACTGTTCATATGAGTTGGCAGACGGTTGGCAACGCTGAGCAAAGCGTTGGGCAACGTATGTTCAATATTACGTTGGACCACGTTGGCACGCGCTGAGCAAAAGGTTTGGAATCAACGTTGGCTGTCTGACGTTGGCACGTTTTTCCCACGCCTGAGCAGATAAGACGTCTGGATCAACGTTGGCTGTCTGACGTTAAGGCCAACGTTGCACGCTGAGCAATAAGACGTTGGATCAAGGTCAAGAATCAAGATTGGCCTGTTGACGTTGGGCGCCAACGTGGCATGGCATATGACGTTGGCAAGTTGGATGAATGCTGTTGCCCAGTGGGCAACTATGGCACCTGAGCAAAAGACGTTGGGCATCAACGTTGGCTGGTGACGTTGCGGGCAACTTGGCAATATGACAGTTGGCGCAACGTCTAGCATGAGTGAAGACAGCCGGTGCCAAACGTTGAGCCCAAAGTCAGCATGTTATTGGTTACGTAAATGTTCCGCTAAAGTCCCACATGTTGCTACAAGGTCACATCAGGCAGGGACTATGGTACATGAAAATGGGTGGGTAAAGGACACCCCCCAAAATTATGCCTATACATATTTAAATTTTAGGATATTCAAACAAAATATATCAATTTCATTGGCGAGCCATCCTTGAATTCAAGATGGCCGCTATCTATGCTTTTCAAGTGTATCATACTGGGCTTCTCACTATCCGAAATGTTGATATAGACCCCAAAATTATGTCCTCTACACGTCTTGGGTCTAGATTATTCAGAATAACACAAATTGCACTGCGGAGCCGATATTGAATCCAATATGGCCGCCAGCCATGTTTCTCTAAGTGTGATAATTGGGTTTTCACTATCGAAATGTGGGCTATAAGCAACCAACATTATGTCTTTAGAGTCTGGGAGTCCAGATATTTCAGAAAATCAATTTTCGCTGGCGTCATTTTGGATTTCAAGATGGCCGCACAATACGCAAAAGTCGCTGGAAAATAACAGTGAAACTCCCAAGGTATTCTTAGAATAATATTTACGTTTCAGCCTAATACCCCGAAAAATTTAGCTCATGCCATTATTTTTGATATTCTGCCCCCCTGCTATTCAGAGGTTGTTTTACGAAATGATTATGATAGATTGTAGTATGGACCGAGCATGCGTGCGAAAATGTCGGCTGCCCACTGATAAATCTGCTATCACACGCTTCCCGGCCAGCGTTTTGAATTACTGTAAACAGACTCAGTCAATGCATTTCTTGGACTTCGGATTTCATTGGCATTTTTGAGTCAATGTAGTAACCAGCCAGTGATATTGGATAATATTACGCGTTTGGCTATAAGGTAATGTACTTATTAATACACAAGGTGCAGCTTACGTTAGCATTCGTCAACATTGAAAATAATGCTATATTCCTTTTAAATTTTTGTTCGTTTGATACTGATAGTGTGGTACACTTTGATAGGGTAAGTTTTTTCCAGGATGGCACCTTCTCTGACTGAAAGTTATGTCGCACTTAGTATGACATGGAACGCCCGGACTGCAGTTACTACTTGGTTATCTTATTTTTTGCTTGGATTGCATGGAGGCGAAGTTCTTAACAGTTTGATTTGTTACTTCGTCATGGTGGTCTTCTAATGTTTTGATAGTTTTTTTGACCATTGGATGAGTTGTCAGCATCCAAATTTCTTTCCCCCTTGTCAGGCGTTTCTACTTCTCTTAACAGTCAATTGTATGCTCAATCCTCTTAATGCAGTGTAGAATTTTGTCCTATGGAATAAATTGGAAATTCACTTTTGAGTAATCAAATAGCATCAAAGGTGATTCTATCTGCATTGATGAACCTAGATTAACGATCACGCATGGGTATTGTTTTGGATGAATCTAAAGTTGACCCTCAATCTTTTTCTCTTCTTCGATTGGGAAAAAAGGCTATTTACCCAGTTTATGAGGTGGGGTCTTCCTTGACTTCAATTATTTGCCCATATTTTGTGACAACTTTTCTCATTGCCTCTAAAGGATTGTTTGAGCCAATATTTAGTCTACTCTTCTGTTATGAGCCATTTTGACTTAGGCATGATATTGAACGTGTAACCCATGTCAACATTGCTGTTTTCCGGACATCGGTTTTTTTTTCTACCGCCGTACCCAGTTATGGCTTGACTAATAAATTTGAAAGTAAGTCTGATTAAGTATATATAGGTTGATCAGTATTCTAGATTTTCAGTACTTTGATTATAGGGTTCTCAGTTGTTGCTGTCTTCCATGTGGAATTTCTCCATGTATCTTTTGGCTTTTTAAAAAAAAAAAAAAAAAAATTATTTGCAAATCTGCAGCTTTTGTTCATGCCAATCCGCCCAGTGTTGATCATCGAATTTGATCCCTATGGTTTTACGTTTCGTTATAGTCTTGACTTTATGAACGAATGATCTACTATTTTGTAGGCATATATGAGGTTTAATCATCTAAGACTAATAATAACTAGAGTGTACAACGTGAAAACGGGCGAATAGGTGCTATTCACGAAATTTTTACTTTGCTGCGAGGCTAGAATAATTTATGTAGTATTGCCATAAGCAGAATTCTTTTGCTCTCTAAAACAGACGAACGCTTGTCAATACGATACTCCTAGGGCTGGATATGGCTATAACTCTCCTCCACTGTCACGCGCCTACTCTCCCGGTTTTCGGCACCTACGCTCTAGCATTTTGGTCATGGTTCCGTTCAGCGGCTAATGGAGCGCTGATAATTGATTGTCCTGATGCCCAATTGGTATTTACTACAATATGTAATGAGCTGCGTTTTGAAGAGCTTAATTTAGAAAAACATTGCCGGCTCCATCATGACGCGGCATTAGCCGTGCTAGGAAAGAGATAATGGGAGATAGGGCATAGGCGTGCCCCGAAAGTCACCTATGATAACGCGAAAAGCGGGGCTTATTCATAAAGTTTGACCGGAAAAACTCAACTTTTCACGAAGCATGCTTAGTGTGGGGTAGGGTGGCTGAATAACGCGGGATGCGAGGCGGCCGTGAGGCATGTGGGAGGGGAGGTTTAGGCCAATATCTCAGCTGCCGCGATATCGTGATTGACAGCGTGTTGGTCTTGTTTTAGAGAGCTAAGATTCTGCTTTATTGCTAATACCATAAAAGTTATTCTAGATCGCAGGCAAAGCTAGATATATGTTTGTCGTGAAATAGCACTATTTTTCCCAGTTTATTCCGTTTGTTACACTCATAGGTATTATTAGCTTTGTCATCTGTATATTGCCTATGTATAACCACAAGATTCTGTGTGGCTGCGCTTGTTATAATGATTTGTCTTGGCGAATTTACCGTAAATGACATATATATATTATATTTTCATGGAGGTTTTCTTTTAGCAGGCGAATTATTACATGAATTGAAGGATGGAGATAGTGTACGTTTATCCAAAGAAGCGGAGTGAGTTTGGCGGCGCAGTGTAACTTTTCTGACCAAGCTGCCCAGGCTATTGTTGAATTTCTACCGGACGAGAGAACTTAATGCAGAGTATGTGGAGAAGAATCCAATGGACAGGGGGATACAGTTGTGGTCGGGACATGTCATGAGCATGAGGTAATTTCAAGACAGTATATAATGACCTAAAAGCATATATGTCAATCAAGTCTTTTCCTATGATAATTTTGATCTGAAAACCTAATTGTGGATGTGATGGAAGCAGTTGATCATTGACACTTTCAAGTTACATGCACACTCAAACATGCACTCGATTCCAGTTTAGGAGATACATGTGCAGCAACTAAATTGTTATTATTAGCTAGTCTGACATAGTCAGATGCAGCTTGTAGAATCGCATGATCGTCCGTCCGTCCGTGCGAGCGCGCGTCGCGTCCGTGCGAGCGTCCGTCCGTCCGTCAACAGTTGGGCACAAATCTAAACGGCTCGACGTACGGTCACGATATTCGGGACGTGGGGGGTAATCCGAAAACGAGTTGGGATGTGAAGCTGGGGTCAAAAGTCAAAGGTCAAGAGGTGTAAAATAAGGGGGAACATTCACTCTTAACTTAAGGTATAGGGAGGAAATGCAGAATTGCGCACAAATCTAAACGGCTCACCTAGGCTCGTGATAGTCGGCTGTTATAGCATCATGTAGGAAAACCATACATGTGGCCGAAATTGGAGGTCACAGGTCAAAGGTCAATGGGCACAGGGCAGATTTTAGACATTTTCTGAGGACATGCTGTCTGACGAGACGATTGAAAAACTTTTTTGTTTCAGCGGTTGACGTATCATTTTTATGGTTTATTGAAAGGACCATGAAATGTCCCTCTGTGACATGTGAAGAGTAAGTGTCGGATAACCTTTTGACCCTCAAAGAGGAGGTTAAACATGGATTTGTTAACTGTTACTGTGTTAGAAAGAATTTGACTGCCTGGGTTTGCTAGTAGAATCTATATCCTGGATGTATGAGGCTACAATGTCACAGTAAATTTAAAAAGCTAAATTTGGTTAAAGAAGGTTTATGTCCTTAAATCGTTAATTTATATGGCATTCTGTAGTGTCAGTATGTACATTAGCGTATCCACATCCAGTGGCTACTGCCAGTGCATGTGTTGTGGTATGCTGTGGAGTTTTTGCCTTAATTGGCTACCAGTGGCAGCTCTCTATTGCGCGCTGCTAGGCTTGCGTAGGTAAATTGGATGAGTGCTTACTATTCTGTCTTGCAAGATAGTTGTTGCTACACGTATGATGGGAGCTTCCATCTTTAATCTGAAGACACTTAAACGTACGGCCATCTCGTGCAACTTTCATAACGATCCCAACGAACATCTTTTGAGAAGGTTCCTGATACCATCCTGTGCCATTCCACTGTTTCGGCGTGTATGTGAACACATTGGGAGCTAACAGGGTTTACTAGAATCCCAACAACCACAGAGTCACCGCAGTAGACGTTAGATGAGCGCTGTCGCTATGCGGCACTTGTTTATTATGCAACTGTTCGTTTGTTATTTGGGTCTACTCCCTAAACGAACCTACTATCTTATTGCCATATCCAGTAGAGTGTACTGAGTGTGACAACACAAGTACTAGAACAACAGAACAAAACAGAACAGCACAGAACAGGACAGGACAGGACAGGACAGGACAGGACATGATATAATGTGACATGATATAACAACTTAACGTAATTTAACGTAACGTAAGGTAACATAACTAGGCTACTGCACATATGCACTGCCTTTTCTTTTTCTTCCTAACTTTCTTTAAAAATATTTAATTAATGTACTGTACACATGTATTGTAACATCTGGACTCTCTTTAGGTTAACACAGAACGGTTTGAGACAGATGTTCATGGTGTCAACCACCTTGAGGGAGGCTGGCCAAAAGATATTAATCCTCTAGAGGTTGAACAAACAATTCGCTTCAGAAAAAAAGTGGAAAAAGATGATAACTACACAAGTTCAATACTCAACTTGGGCAGTGTAAGTTACCATTTGTGACCCGTGCTGGGATTTTTAGGCTCAGGGGTCAATTTCTGGATGTTGAGATTATTCCATAAACTGATTCCTTAGACTCTCAGCTTTCAAACAAGCCATAAAGTAACTTCTACACAAATAGAAACGAAGATATGATTTCCTGAATTCTCGTGAACCGATAAACTTAATTACGAGAAAATTGAGTTTAAAATAAAGTAAAAAAAGAATCCGGAATGAAGTCCCAAACCTCGCTGCCGCACTAAAGCACAGTACAGGCAGAACCGACTGAGATGACAAGTCAGTTTTTAGATCACCTTGACATTGGTCAAGCTGAGCTATTGCCATGGTCGTCTCGTCGTACGTTCGTCGTCCGTCCACGTCAACATTTCGCTTCGCGTCAACGATAACTCAGGAACGTTTGCCACATGTTTGAAATTGGTATAGTTGTTACTGCTATTGCCTCCATATTTAACGTCCTATTTTGAAGCACGGCACAGCAAATTTTTGGCAAAAATGGAATTGCCATTAGTCAGTCGTTCAAAGATGTTGCTCATTTTTGGTATGTGAATGAATAAGGGCTAGGGGTTTTGATATTTAAAAAAAAATTATGCAAATTAGGTAGGGTTTGGCAATTATATAGCATATTATATAGACACAAACAGTCTGTGGTGTCACACTCATCTGGTTCGTTTTACAAGATTTTCGTTGACAATATTTTAATGCAAAATTGGCATTTCCTCTCCACCCTGCCGATAAAACGTCTATATTAAAGTAAAGATTTACAAAACATGTCGGAACGCAGCATAACCTATTTATTTCAAACGCCATCGCTACAAAGCGGGTATAGCGCCATCTACGGTCACAAATTGTGATTCATTTTGGTTTATAAATTATTATTGCGATATACAGATGGCAATCGTTTCTATAATGTACGTCGATGGTTGCTCAATTAAAACTGGCTTGTTCTTACTCACTCATTTGTGTCCTTTTTTGTGGTGAGCTACAGTGTCATTGACACTTTCATGACATCTAAAGATGATTCTGACCTGTGCTTTTTTGATCAATTATATTTGAGATATTATAAATAACATATTTACGTTAAAAAACGAAATTCTGACTAAAAATATATTTTTATGGAAAATCCCAGCATGGGTCACATTTGCTATCTTAAAATAACCAAATATATCTGCTGAAATAATTAAAAAACACACAGCATGGTCTACGAATTTACTTTGACCATGTTAGATAGAATAATATCAATAACTGGTTACCATAGATATACTACCTAACTGGCAAATATTATCCAAATCAGATAATATTATTAAATCTATTGTAGATTGTGTTATTTCTTGCTCGAGTTGGCATAGTATTGAATTGCTTAAAATCGAAGTGAACATAGAAATTTGTGGAAGCCCCCAAAAGTCCTAAGGTTTTATCAGGGGTAGATGATGACAAATCATCATTTGTCATTATCCACCCCTGGTTTTATCTATAGTAGAGACTGCACACTTCCGCTTCAAAATTTGCCAAATTCCATTTCGGAGATTACTAAATTCCACTTCAATTCCGTTTCAGCAAATTTCTACATTTTAATTCAGAAATAATTAAAATTAAGAGAAAACACTGATGGATGCCTGTTTTTTTGTGTTTGTAATTTTTTTTGGATCTGTAATTTCTTTTGGAGAGTTAAAGTGATGAATGTAAGATAAGTTTTCATAATCATTTTGTGTGTGTTGGGAGTGATTTGAGCTGTTTTAAAGGTTATTTTTGTGTTTTGGGAGGTTATTTTTGGTTCCGGTATTTTTATTTTTACTGGTAATTCTGTTTCAGAGGGGGTGATTCCGTGATTTCCGTCCATTTTCCATTTTCATGGAAATGTACGTGCAGTCTCTACTATAGGTTTACTGTAACTCTTTATCATTAAAATTATATAAAGTGATAATTTTACACTCAGTCACCTTTCACTATTACTGCGATTGTTCTCTCATATTTCACAGAAGTGTCATTGTTTAGGCATCCGATAACAGGCGGCCCTTGTTCGTTTTTTCAGGTAATGGAGCATTGCATTAAGCAGAACAATGCCATTGACATTTATGAAGAGTACTTTGAAACTATTGATTCTGGAGATGTGGCAGAGGTACCTTATGCAAAAACGATCAACATCTTTAGGTAATTCTTTTGTATGTTAATGCTTTAACTTGAAGCTAACAATGAGCAATTTTATATTGTTAAAAGCTTGTGAAATGTGAGCACATATTTTCATATCATGCTATGTTTTTAGCTCATCTGACATAGTCAGATGCAGCTTGTAGAATCGCTTGATCGTCCGTCCGTCCGTCCGTCCGTCCGAGCGTCCGTCAACAGTTGGGCACAAATCTTAACCGCTCGACATACGGTCACAATATTCGGGACGTGGGGGTATTCCGAAAACGAGTTGGGATGTCGAAGCTGGGGTCAAAGGTCAAAGTCAAGAGGTGTAAAAGAAGGGGGAACATTCACTCCTTAACTTAAGGTATAGGGAGGAAATGCAGAATTGCGGCACAAATCTAAAACGGCTCGACCTAGGCTCGTGATATGCGTGTATAGCATCATGGTAGGAAAAGCCATCACTGCTCGAGAATTGGAGGTCACAGGTCAAAGGTCAATGAGCACAGGGCCAGATTTTATACATTTTCTGAGACATGGTGAGTTGAGCGATTGCGAAAACTTTTTGTTTCAGCGGTGACCTAGCATTTTTATGGCTTTATTGAAAGGACCATGAAATATGCTTTCCACTGACATGCGAAGAGTAAGTGTCGGATAACGCTTTTTGACCCTCAAGAGGAGGGTTTAAACATTATTGTTGACTGTTAACAAAGGACTGAACTGCTTTTGCTTATTATTAGAGCCCATACCTGTGTCAATGTTAGGCTACAGTTGCACAGTTTAATTGCAAAGGCAAATGTTGGTGTGAACAAGGTTTACGCTCCTTAATCATATGCATTTCTAAAGCAGTCTGTCTATAGCACCACTGCCCCGCCGGCCTGAAGGGTGAAATGATGAATCAGTGAATGCTCGCATGAGGCAAAAAACACAGGCAGCCCATGGCTGGCACGCTTCTAATCATAATTGTGCCTGGCCAACTGCAATGCACTCTGTTAACTCACAGCTGAGCAACTGCCTGAATATACTTACTTGGATTTTAGCCTGTACCTACTGTAGGACTTTCAGAACGAATGCCACTTTGATTATGATTACACTTGCACGCGCCATCTCGCGGCGCAAACTATAGCCCTAGTTATAAATTAGATTTTATTCTCATGTAACTTTGTTAAACGAATAAATAATAACTGTACGCATATAATATATAATCATTTACTTTTCATCTTGAATCTTAACATATATCATGTAGCTATGCCGTGCGTATCATTTACAGTTGTGGCGAACATAAGCTGTTACCATAGAAATATTAGAGACACTAATATATTATGATTTCTATGACTGTTACACTCAGGGGCCATAGGAAAAAGTATTATTGAGGGGCAGTAAAAGGCATCATCGCTGGGTTTTAATTTTTTTTATATAATTAAGAGAGAGAGAGAGAAAGTCTAAGATAAAGAGAGAGAGAGAGTAGTAAATTGAGACGGGACAGAAAACGGTGATACGGTGTGTATGCGAGCGGAAACGGGGTACAATTAGTCGTGCGAGATGGTGTGCAAGGGATGGAGGATGGAGGCAGGGGGAGGGAGGTCGAAGGCAGGGGAGGGAGATGGGAGGTAAGGGGTGGAAGTGAGAGGCAAGGGAGTGAAGTGGAGGCAGGAGGAGGGAGGAGGAGGGAGGTAGAGAGAAGGACCCCCCCCCCTCTAAATTATACTTGAGATCCATGCTCATATGTTGAAATCTTTATAGATAGATAAAATAGATAGCTGTGAATCTATACACAAATTCGAAGTGAAAGGCAAGTATCATTAATAAAATAAACCAAAATCGCATGGGGGGGAGATAGTGAGCGTGTCCTAACAATGATGTGTACGCAACTGCGTATCTGCATATCTGCGCCTAACAAATGTTCAACTACGCACGACTGAAATTGTACGTTCATAACCGTACAACAGATCCCAGATGAGCCCAGACGCTCTGCGGCTCTTGTTACCATAATTTGTCATTAGTTGAATTTTTCCATACCAAATATGCATGTATATATACACGAATGTTTTTGACATTACAGAGACCCAAATGAACATAAGAGGTCAGCCACACATCTTTCCTGGTTCCTGATGGTTCAAGGAAACTTGCTGTGCATACTCAAATCTTGAATTTGGGAAATTAAACAGTGAAATATGTCTAGAGTCCTATATTTGGGATATAGGTAAGTTTCTTATTTTTAGCTCAGCTGACGTAGTCAGATGCAGCTTGTAGAATCGCATGATTGTCCGTCCGTGCTCGTGCGTCATCCGTCTGAACAGTTGGCACAAATCTTAACCGGCTCGACGTACGGTTACGATATTTGGGACGGGGGGGGGAATCCGAAAACGAGTTGGAATGTCGAAGCTGGGTGTCAAAGGTCTAAAGGTTCAAGAGGTGTAAAAGAAGGGGAACATTCCTCCTTAACTTAAAGTATAGGGAGCGAAATGCAGAATTGCGGCACAAATCTAAACGGCTCACTAGGCTCGTGATAGTCGGTGTATAGCATCATGGTAGGAAAAGCCATCACTGTGCGAAATTGGAGGTCACAGGTCAATGGGGCACAGGGCAGATTTTAGACATTTTCTGAGACATGGTCTGACGGAGCGATTGAAAAACCTTTTTGTTTCAGCGGTGACCTACCATTTTTATGGCTTTATTGAAAGGACCAGAAATGTACTTTCCGCTGACATGCGAAGAGTAAGTGTCGGATAACCTTTTTGACCCTCAAGAGGAGGTTAAACATGGATTTGTTGACTGTTAACAAAGGACTGAACTGCGCTTGCTATTAGAGCTTCCTCCCCGCCTCTCCTCACCCTCCCTTCTCCTCACCCTCCCCCACCACCACCATTACGCTCGCGCTCGACGCATATCCATAATAACATGTTAATATAGCGAAGTCATTAAAGTTACACAGCTGTATCTTTATTACTGTACTAACAGTAGGATAGCAAAGCCTATATCAATGCATCATAGATTTTAGATCTGTATAAGTAGTATCCTAGATATATGTCTAAGCGCGAACGTGGTGGCAGGAGGGCGCACTTGATTTCGGTTGCCAGTGAGTTTATCAGAAAGAATACCTGGCTACAGTACACGTCAGTTGAGCGCGTGTCCCTCTGCGGCGACTTGTTTATAATGTTAAGGACTTAAGGGGGTCAAAATTGTGTTTAGAACTTTGTGGAATAGTAAAAAGTAGGAAATAGTAGTTTACCGAACGTACCCTGGTACTATCTAATTGCGACTACGCCTACTCCCTAACCCTAACCCTAACCCTAACCATAACCCTAACCATATCAGATAGTTACCAGGGTACGTTCCGGTATACCGGACCGTACCCAGGGTACGTTCCGGGCAGTACCCTGGGGACATAGACCCTATGAGCCATATTATATCGTGCAAGAAGATGAAAACCTTCTTTATTATGTGATTATTCATTTTTTTACAATAGAAATTTTATATTTTACAAATACCTATACCTTGAAATATGTGTGCTGCAAAGTCGGCACATGGTTGATTCCTTTCTACAAGTGCTATTGCTTTTAAAGAGAATCCAACAGACCAGAGCTGAGTCTAAAGCCTATGTCACCGCTCGTGTGTCTCGAGTATAACCCGAAGGATTCTCACATATTAATAGGTGGCTGCTACAATGGACAAGTTGGAAGCATTTATGGCCTGTAATGTTCTAGTTGTGATATTAATGGAAAGTGACTGTTACTGATGTAGTACAGATCTGTAAACATTTTAGCAGTTGCTTCCCATGTTGGCTAAAGTAAGACTCCATGATTTACAAAGTAAAGTCCATGATTTCTGTTATATTAAATTTAGTGTATTTAAAGCATTATGTTCTACTGTAGCCTAATCATTTACTTACAATTTACGACAATCAATCAACGTCTATGTAACACTTTACACGTAACATTAAAGATCCTGGTCTTTT